GAGGGGGATTGAAAGAAGAGACAAAAAGAGAGACAGAGAGATGAAGAGAAAGAGAGAGATGGAGAGACTGATAGTAAGAGAGGTGAGTGAAAGAAGAGAGAAAGAGTGAGAGAGAGAAAGATGAAGGGAAAGGGGGAGGAGAGAGACATAGAGAGGGGAGAGAGAGAAAGAGAGACAGTGAGATGAAGGGAAAGAGGGAGAGGAAAGAGACAGAGAGAGAGGGGGAGAGAAAGAAGAGAAGGACAGAGAGAGAGGGGGAGCGAGAAAGAGTTATAGTGAGAGAGTGATGGTGAGAGAGAGACAAAAGGACAGAGGGAAAGCGAGGGGACAGAGAGACGGAGTGAAAGATGAGAGAGACGGGGGGGACTGAGTAAGAGAGAGAGGGAGAGAGAAAAGAGAAGGAAAGAAAGTGGACAGAGAGATGGGGTGAAAGATGAGACAGAGAGATGAAGGGAAAGAGGGACAAGAGAGAGAGGAGAGTGAGAAAGAGGACAGAGAGGGAGGGGGAGCGAGAAAGAGCTGTAGTGAGAGAGAGACAGGGAGAGAGGGAGAGGGAAAGAGAGGGCACAGAGAGAGACGGAGTGAAAGACGAGAGAGAGAGGGAGAGTGGTCAGGGTTAGTCTCAGGGGAGAGCCACTCACAACTGAATAACTAGGCCTACAGTAAACATATCTAAGTTGATTCACAGCTGCTCCGCTGCTGCATGGGACCAGACGGTGTCACACAGCGCACAGCAAGACACTTTTACTACCACAACTTTCTTTACATGCAAAGAATCTGAACATGGCAGTAAGTATTTTATTTTACTACAAATCTGTCATTACTTTGCATATTTCTAGAGTTGAAGGATTTATTTGGAGAAATATTGAATTGCAACTTTTCAAAGCAGTTTTGCAAAAATCTTAATGTGAAGTTTCTGTTTAAGTATTAGGATTTACAATTTAAACTCAAGCATGAACATTCACATTTGAGAGAAAAGTAAAATATGAACTAAAGACAAGAATCACATGCATTTCAGAAATTGTTTGCAGAGGTCTAAACTACAGGGTGGTTTTATGCATAATAAGATGGGATATTTTATTGTTGCAGAGTAATTGTGCTATTTTATAACTGCTTTTGAGATTTCCTTTTTTTTGCTTGGATTGCAATTTGCTTTACAATCTATTAATATGCATACAAAATCTGCAGATTAACTATTGCAGGGCATGACTTGACAGTTTTTTCCCACCTTCATGCATTTTGGAGGTGTTCAGTGACTTCTGAATGCTACTGTAATTCTGCACTTTGCAAAGCCTAACCTTGAGTATCATATTTAGTGCTAATACTTTAAATGTGATAATTATTTTAGCCCCTGCTTAAACCATGCACAGATATTTTCATCACTTATTTCTTTGCCAGTGACTATTATCTAATGGGAGTTTATTCATAAGCACCTCAAGTGTCAAACACATTGCTGGTAAGGATGGTCTGGGGATTAAAAGTTGAAATTAATTTTACTCTAACACAAATATAAATCAGGGGGATTAGGTATAAAATGTATATCAAGATACCATGCAATTGCAATTCAATTTTAGGCTCTGTAACTCATCATATCCCATGTCATGTAGCACTGTTTTAATATGTGCAGAGCCTCCACACACTAGAGGCATGGATGCAAAAGTGTGCTTTGTAAAATCATATCTAACCTCATAAATATGTTGATATATACTGCAGTCTGACAGTTTTACTTCCTGTGAACTGCATACAAACACTGGATTTTAATATATGTATTTGTCAGAGTTAATGCACGTAAAACTGACTGAAAAAGACTGAAAATGATTAAAAAGAAGGAAATATGTTTTGTGCAAGCTTTAATAGTTGCTAAAAGTTTGTATTAATTTGTACTTAACTCACTTACGTTACTTGTTTGTAAATTGCATACCACATAAAGTACAATTGTATAGTAATTACACCTTAATTAGCCTCCATAAATCATGATCAAGTCTTAATTCTTTATGAACAAATAGTTTTTAAGAATGATGCACATTTAATGATGAGAGTAGGGTTGTAAAATATTTGTTCTTTCTGAAGCCGATGTTTTACTAAATCTAATTAAAGTGCGATTAAGTGTTCCCTTGCACAATTGCTCATAAGTTTCCACTGCAGATTAGATGGAGGTGAACTTGTGCTGAATACCACAGGTCTCATTGTGATGTAATGACCTTATTGGATCATCATTAAACCTGGCTGTATCTTAAACCCTCTTATGCAACACTGCACGCATAGCCCTCATGTAAAAATATATCTTGCAGCGATCGTATCTTTTGTGTTAAGCTATAGTACAGGCCCCATCCGTGTTGACAGCCCTCCTAATTTTCAGGGATCTTCTTCAAAGACACTGGTTGCACATATGATGAAACCGTCTGAGTGACAGTGACAAATGGGAGGAGATAAGACAATGTGCTAATGCTCCACCATCAGAACTGCCTCAGAGCAGGTTTCATATACGCATATTTATGGATCAATAGTAAGTTAAACCAAAGTTTGTGTCCATGGAGATGTTAGAGCTTTGGCTGGACTGTTCCACACTGCATTAAACTTAGTTACGAGTCAGATCTGTAGAGACCGCATGTCTTTCCATGTATGTTTGAGTAATAGAAACACAAGAAATTGAATAAATGGATCAGTCAGTTTAATTTGATACTGTGGCACATTCCAGATAAAGCAATAACATCTCAAAGCAGACAAGCAGGTGTGGAGCTGTCATCAGAAAAGTTACAAAAGAAAATACAGAAGAAAGTTACAGAAGAAAGTACTAATACTCTTTATTTTGGGGGAAGGAGTAGATTTAAAGACAAAATGTGTTCGCAGTTGAAGCATACATCAGCTTCGGTTGTGCAGGTGTTTGAATTTGAATTTGAATTAGAATTTAATTGTTTGGAGGATAAGCCCCTTGAGATGTGTCATCATCTCGTTTTCAAGGGGTCCTCAGTATTAACCATGACAAAAATCTCTGCAGTTTGATCAGTTCAATTACAGACTCCAACATTTTATAGGAATTCTATCATTAAAAACAATTTCAGACACCTCAAGCTTTGAATTGTTACTGAAAGTTTGACTACGCAGTTATAATTTGTGTGAATGAAAAGGTCAGTCTTCTTTAATCGCAAGTTTTTTATGTTAAATCTTTAATTGATGATCATCTTTTGTCATGGAATTCTAATCATAATGCCTAAACAGTTATTGTTATAAACAGTACTGCATTCATTATTTAAGTGGTTAAACAGTGGTCCTAAAACTTTTCACACCAAGTATCACCTAAAATATGTATGCCTAAATTCAGGCTAAACACGGTTTGCAAAATTTATATATTTTCTTGAAATATTGTGCAGCCCTAGACTAAACTATGTATAAGGGAATTCAATAATGATTAACCCAAAGTGGACAAAAAATACATATAGATTTGTCTCTAATCATAACAAATACTGAAATTACAGATAGACCCGCATACCACAGTTTGAGAAACACTGTCTTAGAAGAATCAAGACTTAATAAAACAGGTATAAAGTGAGACTAAACCACAGATAAGCTTGTTTTATATGATGATTAACCTAAAGAGAACAAAAATGTATAGATTTGTCTGTAATGATAACAAATATTGAAATTACAGATAGGCCTGCATAAGACATTTTGAGAAACACTGGCTTAGAAGAATCAAGACATAAACCAGGTCTAAAATGAGACTAAACCATGAATAAGGTAGTTCTTCGAGGCACCCCATGCACCACAGTTTGAAAAACATTGCTTAAAAGAACAACACCTTCCCTGACAGTATTTAAGGCAACAGGTGTCCTCCAAATGTAGCTCAGATCCTGGCTCCATCCAGTGCGGTTATCATTTACATCAGCGCGCTCTCCATTTGGCCGCTCTGCCCCACTCATCATGTGCACCCATAACACAGTGACACCTCTCATCAATAAGCTCTTTGTCCTCAGGTTACCGAAACCCAGAACCTGTCAGAGAACCACCGAAATATTTCAGATGGCACTATTTTCATGGCACGCACAAATACTGGTATCAGGTGAATGTTTGATTAAGTATCAGTTGCAGGTAGGGATGGGAAGTTCCCCTCTTTAATGGGGTCAAGGAGCAAGAATTGGGGATCTGTTCATTTAAAAGAGAAATACAAAAGACTAGAAAACTTTTAGGAAGCTAATCACCAGCCTAGGAAAAAGGCTAAAATTGGATTAAAACAGACTAGTACTATGTAAAATATTTGAACTGAAGATGGTTTAGTGCTAGCCTGATTCATCAGCCGGTTTCACTTCGTAGAAACCGTCTGACCTCAGTGTTAGAATTCGTTCGCTCGATGGTAGGCTGGTACTTTTTTTCATTTAACCAATCACTGCTATTTGGTCGTGACATATGCATTGTGTGGCTAACAAGGCTAACAGGTATATAAAGGTTTTCCCAAATCCTGTAGGAAGAAGGGCAATAACGTCTTTCCCCTTGATAAAATTCACCAAACATTCTCTTTGTTCCGGCTTTAAATCCTCTATCTCGGGAATCGTTGACAACACATAATATATGGCCCTTCGATGATTTGCTGCCCGAAGTTGCACTTCCAGGGTTTTTGGGAACTGTTTAGTGTATTCCAATTCTTGATCTAGTCACCTGAGAGAAATTAAATTGAGCGGAGGCACTAGGTGGCGCCACCCTGGCTAGTTTAATGCATCATCATCATTAGTTTTTTTATCTGGAATACTTACGCAATACTGTTCTGTCATTGGACAAAACACTTCACCCACCCTACCCATGTGTGGTCTTGGTGTATTATTGATTGATGGTGGTCGACAGCCGCACTTCTGGTCAGCCACAAAGCAGCTGGAGTTTATCAGTAATTGAACAATAAAAATCTAAAGGGCATTTTAATAATAATTTACGGAGACTGTCTGTTTTGTTTAGAAGAATGAGCACAGCAGTGGCATTGTTTTTGACTGATTGTGTGATTTGCCTCACAGGTGGCTGCAGCCCAGGAGTTGGATGAGCTCTGCTACCTCTCAGCTCAGTCCTTACCCAGTCTGAAGGTGTCTGAACACTTCCATGTGATCAAAAAGCTCGGAGAAGGCTCCTACGGCAAAGTGATGCTGGCAGTGCACAAGAAAAGAGGTCAGTGCACAGTGCAAGTTTATCATTTATCAAGTGCATTAAAGGTAACAAGCTTTATTATACCAGTTGTACTACTAAATTATGTGTATCATGTGGATTCTTAACCATGAGAAGCTAAGCCGTGTTGGGCCTGGTTAGAAGTGGGACAGGAGACTCTTGGGAATACCAGATATAGTAGTGGCTTGGCAGTGACTATAGTGCATACTGTTGTTGTGTCCTTGGGCAAGACACTCCAGCCACCTTGCCTCATTATCTGTGTACAGAAAGAACAAAAGACTGAAAGTGAATTCAGAAGAATAATTACAATCTAGCATGTATACTGTTCATTAACATGCACTGTTCCAACCAAAAAAATAACCAAGAAATGTATATATATTGGACACAGACACAGGGAGAAATCAACCCAAAACCTGCAGGTACAATCCCCACGAGTAGATAATCCTGACCAAGCCTAGTGATCATGGTAGTGGGTCCCCAGGCTCACACTGCTTTGAAGGATGGGTTAAATGTAGAAGAGAAATTACAATACAAAGTGCATCTTAACCTTAAAGCCTGCACCTACTTTCTATGCAGTATAACTTTTCGTAACATTTCATTGATCAAAGCTAAACTAAAATTCAAGAATGATTCCAATTACTTTCCACGAAAACTGTCCCTAAGCCATGAGTGCCTGAAAACATGTTTTATATTTATAGACTTGTCATTAGCCTAAACATTATGTCTATATCCTAGGTGTAAAAATGTGCAATATTCAGGCTTCATATTTCTGGCAGATTTTGTCTGTGTGTTAGAAGGAGCAGCCGTATAAAGTGAAGACAGCAGGGTCTTTTAAGAGTGTTCACTTAACCTTTTGCACTTGTGCAGCTCTAATGAAGCGTTGGGGGGATTTAGTTGCCTCGGGGCTGTAACGTAGTAGGTCCAGAGGGGAAGTTATATTTGTTCACAGTGTCAATGATTGAATAGCTCTGACATATTTCCATGAGTTACATAACCATGTATACATTAAATGAAAGCTTAAAAACAGGTATTTTCACTGATAAAATATTACAAAATCATTTCTTGCTTTGAAATGTATGTAGTCTGTGCTCTTATGCTTTAATCATATTTTTTATTGAGCCAAAAGCAGTTTACAGCTTAAATTGCACAAAATCAGTAGAGCTCAATATGTTTTTGTGTGTAAAATATGAAAATAAATAACATAGAACAGAAAACAAACATACTAACAGGTGTGGAGGTACATATATCTGAAATGAATGAAGGAGTTGTTTCTCACATAGACACAGAAAACAGAAATCAATAGACAACACAAATATTTTATTCTCCCCAAATGTAAAGTATAGGCAAGGTCCTGTAGGCAAGGCAAGTTTATTTGTATAGCACAGTTCGTTCACAAAGTAATTCAAAGTGCTTTACAGATTCAGAAAGACATTAAAAACACAATATAAACAAATCAAAACATAAATAATCATCATAAAAGTAACATTAAGATAGAAGAGAGAAGAGTGCAGAATAAACTTACACAAACTTTACTGATCCACAAGGGAAATTACTTGGACACAGTAGCTCACACATCAGAATATATTACAATAACAAAGAGTAAAAATAAAAATGGTAATAAACTTCTAAATAAGTAGCAATAAAATAGCAAGAGACTGATGTCAATAAGACATAAATGATATAAATGTATATACAGTAAGTAAAAACAAATACAGTATATCACAGTTATATACAAGAGGTCGTAAGGAAAGTGCACAGATGATATGATGATTGACAGAAACACAGGCTTATCTGTTATATAAAGGTGTTGTACATCTGTATGGAGTATGAGATAAATGTAGACCTGTATCTCTCACTGTTTGAGCAGAGCTGTAGGAGCCGTTGGAGTAAATATCCATAGCCAAATTTTAGAGATTAGCACTGCTCTTATGTTATGTAAAAAGTTACTAATTCAACCTGGGTTGCTAGTGCCTAAACCTCCAGATATAGTACACAGATATATTTTTCTCAGTATATGGACAGACTCATGTGAAAGCTCAGAACCTGCAGAATTCACTCAGAGGCTGCACTAGCACTGATTCATGATAGGCTGGGGTTTCGATTGTATCTGGGGATAGAGATATGTCATGTTTATGAAATTTAGAATACAAATCTTGCATACAGATTCTTTAAATGAGACATACTTAAAATTCAACTCTTATCTTTCTACCATATCATATCTCATTGTATTCTGGTCGATTTAAGCAATTTAAGACTTTGATCCACAATTGAAATGATTTTGGACACACTATCTCACACATTACAATAAATATAATAACAAAGAGCAAAAATATAAATATAATAAGTGTCAAATAAGGCATAATTATACAAATGTATATGTAAAAGTAACAAATAAAATATGGAAATATAGTAATACAAAATATATCTGTGTATATAATAGAGGTCATAAGGAGAAGCAGTGGTTGACATGACATAAGGTTATCTATTACATAAGAGTGAGTTGATGTAAGGTTGTATGGAGTATGATATGAATGTCCTGATCTGCCTCACTGGAAAAATAAAATAAAATAGAAATCAGACACTAGGGGATACCATTTTTGCTCATTAGCCAGTTTGAAAAGGCAAACTGTGAATTATATGTGGGTAGTGGGTACACAAATAAATACTGGCTTTGCCTCAAAAAAATATTGGCTACATTTTCAACATCAGATGTGTGAAAAGCTGATACTAGAATGATATATCCTTCCCTTCTTCTTCTTCTCAGGATCCCCAATGGCTCTTAAGTTCTTTCCTCAAGAGACCACTACACTGGCATCTTTTCTGCGCGAGTACAACCTGTCCCTGTCTTACTGCACCCACCCGTCCCTCACCCGGGCGCTGGGCATCTTCTTCTCCACCACAGACTACTACGTGTTTGCTCAACAGGCCGGGCTCTACGGTGACCTCTACAGTGTCATCGTGTCAGAGGTCAGTATGTGTGAGGGGGCCGCTAACATCTTCATTTACACTCACTACATGTACTGTGACCTTTCATTTGTATTTATAGAGTTGTTGCTTTGCCTAAAATATTCCACAGTTCTCTCAAGTTTTTGTTCTCTCAAAATAAAAACACTCTGTTCCACCTTGTGATGTCATGTGGTAATACAAGAAGAGCTCTTCTGTGTTTCTAAACTACATAGACCATCACTAAAGTCATTTGGATGATCTCAGACCTGGAACTGTCAATCTCTACTGAGCTAAAGGTAAAAGGCAACTGCAAACTACTGCAAAATGAAATCACAAGGTGGAACAGAGCATTTTGAGCTTTGGAGATGTAGACAGACTAATATTTGAGGGTTACTCAAACATGTGTGAATTAAATAAAACATAACTTTATGTTTGGACACTCAGAATAGCTAAACAAATATCTTGAAACCAGTTAAAATATCCGTCAAAAGGTCAAATTAATAGCAACTACAATTAAAAAAGAAAGAAATATAAATATTCTGAATTCAGTGCATTTTAATTCATTTTTGTCGATAATTAGAGAGATGATTCGATTTTTCAAGACATGGTGTGTAATTGTCATCAGCTGGTTTCACTTCGTGGAAACCGTCTGACCTCGCAGCATTAGGATTTGTTTGTTTGACGGTAGGCGAGTCCTTTTTTTATTTAACGGCAAATCCCGTAGAAAGAAGGGCAATAACGTCTTTCCCATTGAAAAAATTCACAAAACATTCTCTTTGTTCCGGTTTGAAATCCTCGATCTCGGGAATTGTTGCCAACACAGAATGTATGGCCTCATCTACATCCATCTCGACCGCTTTCTTTACTGTTGTGATGTACCACAAAAGGGACCCAGACAGGCACTTGAGTTTGACGTCATGGCTGCACAGCTTTTCGCTGATTGACCAGTGCGCGGTCTACAACTTCCGGGGTTGTTGCAAACCATGTAGTGTGTGACGTGTCCTCTCTAGTGTGATGTCATGATTTACAACCAGAAAGTAAAATTGGAAACCTAAAAAAATTGCTAAATCAGGAAAAACTGCATTTCAGCTCAATCTTAGATGCAACAATCTTAGTCAAATCAGTAGTCTAACCTTTCATAGGCACTTTAAAGGTTGGTAGTACAAATCCGTTGACTGGCTTGGCATTCAGTTGTTGTGTCTTCGTATGCATGATTTATTTATACAGATATGTTGGTATGTATGTCTGAATGTGATGTGTGGTGGTGATCTGAGAGGCAGAGGCCCGAGGTGCAAAATAACTGCCATGTTTTTGTTACTCTGTCCCAGGGCAGCAGGGCAGTGGCTGAGGAGTGAATGTTCAGTATAAGGGACTCTTGAGACTACCAAAGCAACTATAGGAAGCTATTTCAATTTGAACACTTATTTTCTAGTGTGGTTGTTTATCTTTTTTTTTTAGTAATCTCAAGATATTTTGGCAATCCAACAGAAATCGGCTAAATACTTAAAATCAGTATCAGCTGTATGTGTAAAATTATAAACAAAAATACAGAAATATTTTTTTTTTTTTTTACTTAATCATGATATAGCCATTTTTATAAATCATATACTATAATATATAACATTTATAATATAACATTTTTGCTAAACTTCAAAACAGCATTCACAGTGATTTGAATTATTTTAATAATATAATAATGGCTTGGATTTTATATAGTGCTTTTCATGACACAGCACTTTTCATTGCATCATTTATTCACTCCACACATGAAAGCCACTCCTGTAGTCCACAACTGCCCTGGGGAAGACTGCACCATCAGCCCCTTCCACCCCCACCAATCACTCACAAATCAAATTCTATATTTATCAGGCACTTTTACTTGTACGTGACTATCATTTTGCTGTACCAGTAACTTTTACTTTCAACGCGTCCTCCACTGTGCTGCTGCTAAGTCCAGTGGAATATACTGTATCAGCTGATAAGACTGTGCCCTCTCATGTTGAAGTGGAGCTGCCAGTAACTTAAAAGCTGTGCGATAAGCCGCCCTTTTCCCACCGCAGCGAGTGGAGAGAATGTGGGTTAGAGCAGGGACTTCCAGATCAGCTGTTTCTGACGCAGAACATCAGAGCAGATTTACGGGGCTTACACTGGTGTCCTGGTAATTAGCTTCCAGTGTCACTTAAATGAGCCAAACATATCTGACATGTGTCTGTTTTCATGATGATGCACATTTATCCTGGCTCAAAGGCTGCACAAGTTTAGCTCTGACGGGTTTAATAGTCAACAAAGTTCTCTGTGCTAATGAATTGCAGATGTTGTTGCCAATTCAAGAAATAGAAATGTGCATTTCAATCTATAAAGGAACCACAAGGTCAGTGAGGCTTCTATGGAAAAAGTAATTACTATTAATCGCAATTTTTCTGACAAATACGATGAATATGGTTTGTGTTTTTAGTGTACTTTCTAAACTCATCCTGGTGCAATAACGTTTGAGAGAAGATATAAATAAATATGGACAGCCAAACTAACAAATCAATGTCATACTTAACAAAACACATTTGTTGAGGTCTAATCTGCTGATTTAACTCGTTTTAGACATAATAAGACATTGTGGAGACAGGACATAGTATTGCTGTTTCCAGAAAACAGCCCTTTATTGAACAACATTACCCATTTCTGTTGAATATCAAACCCCTAAACTGGACCATGAAAACCCGTATTGATCACAGGCTCCTGAAAATCTGTTTAAATCCATCATGTATTTCTTTTTGAGTTTTCAGACAATCTAAGAACGTATTTAGCTGTGTTTGCAAATGTGTGCATTGCAAAAGAAAGATTCAATTCTGTCAACTGGACAAAAGTTTTAGTTTTGCATGTTTTGGATGAACTACGAAACATCTTCACTCCAGAACTTTTGTCCAGCAGACAGACTTGAATCTTTCTTATCCTATGGATCCTACCTGGAAGACTGAAGGAGTACACACATAAATGCCAACACCCCCCAATATCTTATCGCTGTAAAATACAAATCCCCGCAGCCTTATATATAATCCTACATATTGTGATTAGATTGCAATGAATCTATTTGCTCTAATAATCTAATATGTAAAGTTTTTGTTCTGGTTCACTTTTTATGGCATATTTTGTTGAATATATAAACATGTTTTTGCAGGTTGGTTTGGCGGAGGAGCGTATTCAGGGGGTCATGGCCCAGCTGAGCGGAGCAGTCACTCACCTCCACTCCCTCGGCTTCGTCCACCGCGACATTAAACCTGAAAACATCTTCCTCTGCGACAGCTCATGCAAATGGGTTAAACTAGGTGACTTTGGCCTGGCACGGGCTGTGGGATCCACTGTCCGGGCAGTGTGGTACGAATCCCCGTTCTGCACCCCTGAAGTGGAACCAGCTAAGGAGGCGGAGAAGGAGTTTGAGCGGAGGAAAGCAGAAGGCACGGAAGATGAGATGGAAGACATATGGATCACGGTTGAACCCAGTATTGATAGCTGGGCTTTGGGTGTGCTGACCTACTGCCTGCTAACTGGTTGTTTCCCTTGGGAGGAAAGCACACTTGACGACCGTGGTTATAAAAGATACAAGCAGTGGTTTGAGATGGAGAAAGAGAGAGCTCATGACAAAACAGACTGCTACAAAACCATGGAGCAACATTACAAGAATAACCCACCCCCCTCACAGTTCAGAGGTATCAGTCCTCTCGCTATGGCCCTGTTTAAAGAGCTGCTAACCCCAGACCCCAAAGAGCGCAGTAATCCGGAGGAGATCCTGAGCTACCTGGGCGGTCCCTGGCTCCGAGACAGTGAGAGGGAACAGAGAAGGAGGGCAGAGGAGGCACAGAAAGAGGCGCAGAAGATCAGAGACACTGCGGGTTTGAAGGAGGAGCTGCTCAGGGAGGGCAAAGGAGAGAGATAAATCTATACTGCACTTGTATAAGCTCTTATGTACTGTACACTAAAAAAGGACTTGTTATTGGGAACACTACTGTACAGCCAAAGTGATAAGAGGTTTTGGTTTGGATGAGTAAAATTATCTGCCAATTTAATTGATGTTTTTTCTGATTCTAAAGTGTGATGATATCATACTCCCAGATGGGCAAAGAGCTAGTACAATATATGGATTATATTGTATTTTGTCATGAGATATCCAAAAGGTAAATGCACAAATGTTGAATCTGATTATTTCTAGAGGTAGATAAATGCATATATTTGGACTTTTTACCATATTGGCCTTAAATCTCCAGCACAGGCCGATATTTTGCTGCCTAAAAATACACACAAAGCTTCATTTAAACACTTTAATAAGAAGAGAAAACAACACCAAATATGACTGCACAGTTCCCTTATGGCAGTAGTGTCAAACTCAAATTCACACAGGGCCAAAATTAAAAACTGGGACTAAGTCGCGGGAAAACTAAGATATGTAAAGTTAAATCTTTTCTTATTAAAATAAATGTTTAATAATAGTTTTGCTTAAACATTGAATCCAGAACAAGCATAATATAAAATAATAACACATTTTTTAATAAATAATCTCTAATATAATAATAATAATAATAGTCTCTATAGCCTATCTGTAGTCGGCAGGCCAGCACTAATACATATTTGATATGATCTCGCTGGCCAAATATAATTATATCACAGGAGTTTGACACATCTTCCTTATGGTTTTTGTGAATAAAAAAGGGCTGTAGGTAAGTTTGTAGTCAATTTTAATTGCATAATAAGAAAATAATTAACATTGGCTCTGCATATTGGCTCAAAAAATATCAGCAGAGCTTATTAAAAACGATATCACTCGATCTCTAATCATTTCTATAACTGACTATATATATATATATCATTTAAGCAAATGCTAGAGCTCCCAATGCCATAGTTATTATTCTAACAAGTGTAACAAGATTTATCTGTAATTTTGTTGGAAGATAATTTTACTTGCCAAGTGAAATCTACTCCGGTTAAGTTTTTCTTATATCAAATAATAATTTACTTACCTGAACATTACTTTAAGCGGTGCATTTAGCCCATATTGGCAAATTTACTTTCTAATTTACAGCTAAGCTAATTCAGTCCGAAATCACATCACATTGAAAATACTTTGAAATAATATCCAGAATTTTAGTATTAAGTATTTTAAATTATGTTTGATATAATGTTTTTGTAGTGTAAATGTTTGTATGATTTTGGTGCATAATTTAGGCTGACTTGTTCATAAGGTGCTGCTGTATATTCATGTTTTTATAAGCCTTGTTTATATTGTATTGTATGTATATAAATCCATGTATGTGTGCAAGTGGTTTATTAAAAAGATTGTTAATATTCATAGTGTGAAGTAACTATTAAATACTTCAAATGTCTGTGTAATCGAAACACCCTTTATCAAAATGTTATCCATGCCTTTAAATACAGTTATAGTGAGTGGTTATAGGCGGATCGGAGAGGCATTAAAACTCTATGGTGTCAAAGCAGATCTCATTTCACTGTCGCTGCTGCCACTGCAAGATCTGCTGCACCGCAGTATGGCCCCAATGCAACTCAGTACATCCAAGCAACCACAAAGGCCGCGCACGCTAGCTTTAATTATAAGACTGTATCTTTCTGATCTGTTTATAACTTTGTATTTTAAGCAAACTTTCTGGTTAAGCGTCCGCCACCTGCTTATTTCCAAGGACGTGTTATTGCTTTGCATGGAAAGTTCTTCATGGAAACCAATAGTCGCTACCAGACTAAGTTACAGGTCAGATCTGTGGAGAGGTGGCCCAGCTTGCATTTCAGTTCATATTATTGAGTACAAACAAGTGAGATCAGTTTAATGCTATCCTGTGGAAAATTCTGAGAAAGCAATAACATCTCCATGGAGACAAGCAGGTAACAAACCCCCCACCAGAAAAGTTACATAGTGCACCTTTTAACTTATTTCAACCTGCTTGATTTTTTTCACCTTGTTAGTTAGAATAAAGAAGTGGACTAAGGGAGTGTGATGTCGCCCATAGCGCCTGCTCCAGTCAAATGAAGCTCACAAAGCCAGCAGTTACGTCCTGAATAGGCTCTATTCACGCTTACGTCACAAACCACAAAGATGTTTGGAAACTTCTGGTGTAGTTCCTGACACTGGGCTCACCGAATGATTGTGATCAAATCCACTGAAAAAAATGTCATAGGAGTAAAATGAAGGCTGCATATGTATGTGCTGTTTGGAATCATCTTGAATTTGGCGCCTCATTTCTTCTAATCGCATGTACCCAGTGCACTCAGACTTGTGTGTCAGTGGGAAAATTATGTAAACTAGGGCTGGGTATCATTAAGAAATTGACGATACGATACAGACCTCGATACATAGACCACGATACGATACATATCTCGATACATTCCACTTTCAATTCAGTACGATATATTTCAAATCAATTCGATACCGTTTAATAGAAAATAATGGCTAAATCGTGGCTGTGATACTAAAAGTCTTTGTTAAACCACCTCTTGTGCAAAGTTAGCAGGAAACAGCCATGTTAGTCATCAAAACCGTGAAAATGTCAAATGTGTTGCATGAACAAGTTTACTTTGTCTAAACAAGCAACAAAACTGTAGCACTGTAACAATATAATGTAGTAAAATATACCAAACAAAATATTCTTGGCGATATATCGATACAGCACCCCACAATATCGATACTGTATCATCACATTAAACGATACGATATATCGATATTTCAATATTTTTGCACACCCCTAATGTAAACTGAGATATGGTTGTAATTGTTGATTAGCAAACATAACGGAACGCTACAATGACATGGAGATGAAGAAAACTGGGCCTTTTTCACTTTTTTCCTAGATTTTGTCAGACTACCTCAAACAGAGCACGCCATAAGTTGTCATTGCATGTTTCCACGTCTTCCTGGTTTGTGACGTAAGTGTGAATAGAGCTGATTTGTTGCTGAGTTCTAGATTACGAATAGAAATTGATTTATGGACAAAATAGCAAAATAAAAACATTAGGATCACACAGAGAGGGTTAATACAAACATTTTAAGACCAAAATGACCAAAATGAGGCTCACTGCAGCAGTTACAGAGAGAGGGGTGATGTTTTTCAATGTAAAGTGCGTCGGAGCCAGAGTCCCTGGAGTCTGAAACGCCCCCATGCTCACTTCCTATTTGGAACATTGCGGCTAGCAGGTTATCTATGTTCGTTTATATTTACAGTCTATGGTTACTACAAAATAGTTCTGTAATTGTCAAACAAGCACAAGTACACATGTTGAGGGACCTATAAAAGTACCAAAGGGAAACTCCGGTGAAGCGACAGGTGCAGCATTTCAGAGGAAGGAGATCTAAAAGGGGAATGAACAATTCATCCAGCGCTAGATGTGTTTGACTTCATCTCAATCGGCCTAATCCCTTTAATACAGCCTTATGACATTTACTTCAACACGCATACAGTGGCTCTGAGTGAGAGTCCCACAAAAGAGTCCAGAGGCTATATATGGCTTTGATTTATGCCAGCGCTGAACTGAAACAAAAGCGCAAAGGACATATTTCACTTCTAAACGAGACAATTACCCTACATCTGTCAGACACGTTTAGACGGCTGCAGGATATTTTTGGTTCAGTTTGTTTTTAGATTCTGAAATGTGCCATCACAACATCTAGTAAACTAATTTGTGCATTGCTCAGTCATGGTTTTATTTTTATTTACTCAATATTTTACCATAAAAGTAAATGATCTTGATCAAGTATGAGAGCACATTGACTAGTGGACGTTAGTTACAGTTCAGATCTGTGGAGAGGCGAGCCCACTCACAGTAAAAATTTGTTTTTTTGTTTTTTTTAACCAATAAAAATGGAATAAGGACAAGACAGATACACTGATATAGATATATATAAAACATTATTATTATTAAATGTTCAGTGTGTGACTTTCTAGATGGAAATGGAAAGAAAGTTAAAATTATACTTAGGAATGGACTCCATGGAGATAGATTTTATGTCATATTGTGGAGCTGACAGCTAATTGGAGGTGAATTAAATACAATCAATCAATTAAAATACAGTCCCACTTAATTGTATGCTTTTAACTTTATGTTTTAATAATATTTAACTTGTTTATGTTGTTGTTTGGCAACCTTGAGCATCCAGAAATGCACCTAATAAATAAAATGTATTATTATTATTTATTATTAGAATAGCACATTATTATAGCCGTCAGGTTTGTGGAGATGCAAGCGCCACTCCAAGTAAGGACTGGACTTTTTAAAGAAAGATGCACCATATAACTTTTCTAGTGGAGCGTCTGCCATGGTGCTTTGCCCACAATGTTACTATGACGTAGGTTGACCGTGAGCGGGTTGGGGTTCAGTGAGTAAGGTTAAAAAATCCAGACAAAGACGTGAAGCAGTGGTCCACAATTTACTTTTTTTGTTTTCAATCAGTAGGTGGAAGGCAGCAGTTTCCTCTCCAGCAGCAGAACCCAGAAGGATGTATAGAGACGCCTTTTATCTGGTCTGACTGATTGGATAAAACCACAACAGCTAAAACAGGGATGGTAAAATAATTATTATCTTAAAATCTTGACCTAATACTCTATAAAATAAACCCAAAACCAAATAACAATTAAAACCCCAACTATATACATAAAAACTCTAAAACCATACACCAGTGAAACTTTAAAACCCATAAACCAATAAAACACCAAACCTACTAACCCTGTACAATATTAATACACTTGGTCCTGCCTAAAACCTTAAAAGGGGGAGCTCGTTGCCTGGGGGACTCTTTTGGGACTTGGACAGAAGATAAAATAAAACCACACCATTCATTAAAACACCATAAAATACACTACCACACACATCAACACTTAAAACATTTCAAAACAGATATATTGCACCATATTTATATTGCCCTAACTCAGTTTAAAAAGGTAATTGGTTCATTCTGTCTCCTTTTCCTCCAGGGACCAGCAGCT